GGGAAATGGGGAAGTGGGGGGGGGAATGGGCACGGTGGGGCTGGGGGAGGATAGGATGGAGAACAGAGCACCGGGGTTCCTGTTTCGGTGCTCAAGGAGGATGGGCTCCGTGGCTGTGGGGCTGAGGTGACGCTCAGGGGCAAGTGGAAGGAGGATGCTGTTGGGATTGAATATGGAATCGGGATGAGGGCCGGCCCCAACGCCTTCCACTGGAGCAGCTTGCTCCAAGCCCCTGTGTCCAACGCTGCCAGGGATGGGGCAGCCACAGCTTCTCTGGGCACCCTGTGCCAGCGCCTCAGCACCCTCCCAGGGAAGAGCTTCTGCCTAAGAGCTCATCTCAGTCTCCCCTCGGGCAGGTTAAAGCCATTCCCCTTGGCCTGGCCCTACAGGCCCTTGTCCCAAGCCCCTCTCCAGGTCCCATCTCCCCTGGCTTTCACATCTTACATTCCATGTCCTTGGTGCTGAGGCTCTGACCATGGGGCCGGTGCTTGCTGCTGTCCTTTCCAGTGTGCTCCTGGCCCCATCCAATGGAGCTGGAGCTGAACAGGGACCTCAGAACCCGCGCTCTGCTCCCTTCCCAAACAGGTTTATTTCTAACAAGGCCTTTCCCAAATGTACAGCACGGGGAGGGGGTTGAGCAGAAACCAAAGAGAAACCAGAGAAAGGGTGGGGGGAATCTGTGCTAGCGCTGCAGGAGAGAGCCCAGCCGGGGGCTGCCCTTCCCTGCACCCATCCCATCCCCGCTGCAGGCCCAGCGTTGTGCCAGCCCAAAGCACCCCTGTGGTGGAGCTGGGCACCCGCTGCTGCAGGCTCCTCGGGCAGGCAGCAGCCCCGCGGGGATGAGGGCTGGAGCTGGGGTACCCATGGAGCGCCGGAGCTCCATCAGCTCAAAGCTCCGCTCGCTCTTAGTTCCGGTCCAGCAACCCCAGGAGCTAATGGAGCTGAACGAGGCTGAGGGCTGCGGAGAGGCCATTAGCTTCCATGTCCTCAAATCCCACAGGGATCCCTAATCCCGCTCCATTAACGGCCCTGTGCAGTCCAGGGAATGCTGGAATCAGCCGGGAGGTGAGACCCGCACGGGGGAGCAGCAGCTCCTGCCTGGGTTACTGGAGCCAGAACTCGGAGTCATCCCTCCCCAGGGAGCTCTGGAGTTCCCTGGATACAGGTTCCTGCCCCTGGCTTCCCAAAGGAGCACCCGGGTGGTGGTTGAGGAGCTGAAGCCCAACCAGATCCTGCCCAAGGGGAAGGAGGGGAACTGGAAACGGGATGAGCTCTAAGATCTCTTCCAATCCAAACCATTCCAAGACTCGGCTTGCAGAGGACCCCTCTGTTCTCCCAGGGCAGCAGCTCCACACCAGCTCCCTCCTGGTCTTGCTGGGATTTGCTTCCAAGGTATAAATGCTCCAGAGCTGCAGCTCATCCTGTGGACAAGCTCCAGATCTCGGGGGTGGGAATCTTTAAGGAGAAGCTGTGTTTTCCAGGAGCTGCCCTTCCCTTGGGATGGATGGAAGGAGGGATGGATGGAAGGAGGGATGGATGGAAGGAGGGATGGATGGAAGGAGGGATGGATGGAAGGAGGGATGGATGGAAGGAGGGATGGATGGAAGGAGGGATGGATGGAAGGAGGGATGGATGGAAGGAGGGATGGATGGAAGGAGGGATGGATGGAAGGAGGGATGGATGGAAGGAGGGATGGATGGAAGGAGGGATGGATGGAAGGATGGAAGGATGGCTCTGCTCTTCCCTAAGAGCTCCCCCAAGCCATGAAGCAGTGCAGGAGTTAGTGTTCAGAGAGCGGCTGGGATGCGTTTGGGATTCACACTCCCACCTCCCCTTCCCTTCAGCCAAGGGAATCCCGTGTCCTGGGAGCAGGGAATGCCAGCGTGGGCCCTGGGGTGGCTTCGCTGCCTCTGGGGAGGGTACAGGGGGATCCCTATGAATCCTACTCAAACAAGGTGATGGGTTTGGAGCGCACGCGGAAATGGGCTTGGGAAGCAGAGGGACGTGCTGGGCTCCAGGATAGACCTAAAGGCCAGGAGTCCTGGGAAGCAAAACCTGCCCCCAAAGGTGATAAATGATACAAAGGAGGAGGTAAAAAAGAAAACAGGAGGGGGGAAAGAAGGGACCTGAAGCATAGAGGAAGATTCACCACGTGGCAGAGGCTCCGCGCGGTGCAGAGTCCAGCTGGGGGCTGCTCCGCTCCCTCCATCCCCATCACATTCCCAAAGCAGGGATACAGTCCTTCCAGAGCCTGCCGGGGTGCTCAGTACTTCACGCCAGGCACAAACTCCTTGGCATCTGGATTCAAGTTGCTTTTGCTCTGGAAGAGAAGATGGAGAGGGATCATCAGGGGTTCAAACGCTGGGATCCCCCACACCAGCATCATTCCATAGGAACCTGCGTGCTGAGGATGGTGCCATGGATGTGACGTGGCCCTTGTGTCCTCACAGACCTGGGGATGGGGCTGAGCAAGTGCCAGCTCCAAGGGATCTACTCCCAGAGTGGGTTTTGAAGGGGAAACACAGGAGGAGGTGGTGGCTGTGTCTCCCAGTTCTTGCTTTGGCACAGGGATGGGTTTGCTCCAGGACCAGTCTGTTTCCATGGAATCCCAGCCTGGTTTGGGTTGAAGGGACCTCAAAGCTCCTCCAGCCCCAACCCCTGCCACGGGTAGGGACCCCTTCCACTGGAGCAGCTTGCTCCAAGCCCCTGTGTCCAACCTGGCCTTGAGCACTGCCAGGGATGGGGCAGCCACAGCTTCTCTGGGCACCCTGTGCCAGCGCCTCAGCACCCTCCCAGGGAAGAGCTTCTGCCTAAGAGCTCAGCTCAGTCTCCCCTCGGGCAGGTTAAAGCCATTCCCCCTGGCCTGGCCCTACAGGCCCTTGGCCCAAGCCCCTCTCACCCCACTGCCACCCAGGAGCCCCCCAGGATCTCCACCCCACCACGCGGGCCAGGTCCTGTGCCCACACTGACCTCCCAGCACGTCCCTCACGCTCCTTACCAGGATGTCCTCTGAACTGTGGCCATCGCACACCGAGAGCCCGTTGAGCTGCTGCTGCAGCTGCCCCATGCCCTGGGGCAGGTCCCGCGATGGGATGAACCAGTCCTGGTCCTCCTCCTCCAGCATCTCCTGGAAGCAGCGGTCGAGGAACTCCTGCTCCTGCAGCTCCTCCTCCACCTGCCCGGAGAGAGGCGTCAGTCACACCTTGGGAAGGGGCTGTGGGCAAGGGGAATGGCTTGAACCTGCCCGAGGGGAGACTGAGCTGAGCTCTTAGGCAGAAGCTCTTCCCTGGGAGGGTGCTGAGGCGCTGGCACAGGGTGCCCAGAGAAGCTGTGGCTGCCCCATCCCTGGCAGTGCTCAAGGGCAGGTTGGACACAGGGGCTTGGAGCAAGCTGCTCCAGTGGAAGGGGTCCCTGCCCGTGGCAGGGGTCGGGACTGGATGAGCTTTAAGGTCCCTTCCAACCCAACCCAAGCTGGGATTCCAGGATTCTGTGACTTCCCGTCTCCCCCAGCCCATGTTTGTGCTGGGATCGCCCCGTTCCACTCTCAGGAATGGAGTTTTCCACCGGGATCAAGGGGCACCCACTGCAGGAGCTCAGTGCTGACCCATCCAGGCTACAAACCCTCTCAGACTCCCGGCACTGGTGTTCAGGCTGCTCCTCTCCCTCCAGCTGAGCACACACCAGGGGGAGCTCTGCATTACCATGGCAAAGCCCATCAGAAGATGATGGAGCCATCCCCATCCCTCTGGGAAAGAGCTGCCCAGAGGCACAGGGAGGGGTTTATTCCGACTCCATCCATCCCACGTCCTTACAGGCAGATCCGACACTGCGGCAACGAGGCCCTCAGTGCCTTGGCAGTGCTGGGGAAGGGTTGGACTGGATGAGCTTCAAGCTCTTTTCCAAGCTGGTTGATCCCATGACACAAACGGGATGACTTCCCTTGAGCCAGCATCCCCGTGCAGACACATTCCATGGCGCCCACCAAGGGAATTCCCTCTGGCCCCTCAACTCCATTGCACGGAGCTGGCACCACCCTCCTGGCCTTACCTGCCTGTTGAAGTCTTCTTCGTTCTCCATCCACATGTACTCCGCAAAGGGGTTGTTCTCCTTCTCATCGTGGCCGTTCACCACCTGGTCCTCTTTGGATTTGGGGCTGGATCCCGTCGGGCTGCCGAGCTCGGACCCATTCATCATTATGGACTGTGGGGAGGAGAACACGGGGGTGAGGACCCTGCCCCTGTCCCCCACCCATGCCAGCTTCCAGGCTCCTGTCTTCAAGGCTTTTCCCAGCTCCTTTCCCTCCTCCCTAGTGCTGGCAGCAGCAGGACACCCCTGGCACCGACAGCCCTTCTCCTCCATGGGTTTCACCCATCAGGGAGAGCTGTGACCAGGGCTTGGGAAGGCTCCAGCATCCCAAACCCATCCCAGCATCCCATCCCCTTGAAACCCGCCACAAAGCACACCCAAAGGCCACAACTGGGTTGTCCCTCAGCCAACCCTATAGCACCACAGCACCAGAGTGCTCCCTAACCCCAAATACTCCAGTTCTGGCAGAACATCACACATGTCCCTTTATTTCTGCCATAATTCCCTGGGTTTTAGAGGGAATTTCCCTAAATCCCTTTGGTTTGTGACATGGAGGTGGCCTTCTCCTAAAGGAGATCTTTAGAGCCACAGTACTATGGCTTGAAGCAAGAGAGACCCTACGGGATCCCAAACCTCAGCTTTCGGAGGGTTCTCAGGAGCAGACGGAGGGAAGGATGCACAGACTGAGAAATGAGACAGAATTCCATAGGAAAAACCTATGGAATAGCCAAACACTGACTAAGGCCAACACAACGTGGATGAAAAGCACGGACACAACACATTAGGACATCCCAGCTCTATGCTTTAACCTCCCTGGTGCAGGATTCATCCGGAGCTGAGCTGCATCCAGCTCCAGCACAGCGCTGGGATGAACTGGAGAGCATCCTGCAGGAGAGGGGCTGGAAAACGGGAAT